ATAACTGGATTTTGGGACAATTAAGAACTCCATGTCTTTTTTATTATTTATCTTCCATCTTTGGATTATGACACAAATATTCTTGGAAGATAAGAATACACAGAGAAAAATAAAATCTTTTTAGAGGCAAGACTAAATATTAACAATATGCGTGTCAGAACAACATATATTTCAGTTTGCCTTTGTTACTCAGTGTAAAAAAAAAGATGCTTAAGCCTCTTGTCATCTTTCTAGGAAGTAAAATCAAGGAAATCTATACCCTGGCTATTTGGATATGTTTTCCTGCAAATATTGAAAGAGCTTTCATGCAGACTTTGTGTGATCAGTGAGTTGGCCCACTATTTTTAGCTGATGCTGACTATGGAATTGTCATCCCTTTGTACTCAGCCATGGTGAGGCCACACCTCGAATCCTGTGCTCAGCTCTGGGCCCCTCATTGCAAGAGAGATATTAAGGCACTGAAGGGTATCCAGAAGAGTAACAGAGCTGGTGAAGGGTCTGGAGCACAAATCAATAGCAAGCTGAACATGAGCTGGCTTGTGCCCAGGCAGCCAAGAAGGCAAATGGGATACCGGCCTGTATCAGCAATAGTCTGGCCAGCAGGGCCAGGGCAGTGATCATCCCTCTGTACTCAGCACTGGTGAGGGTGCACCTCAAATCCTGTGTTCAGTTCTGGGCCCCTCACTACAAGAGAGACATTGCCGTGCTGGAGCAGGTCCAGAGAAGGGTAACAAAGCTGGTGAAAGGTTTGGAGAACACGTCTGATGAGGAAGAGCTGAGGTATTTAGTCTGGAGAGGAAAAGGTTCAGGGAGGACCTGATCTCTCAGGGGAGAACTACCTAAGAGGAAGCTCTAGTGATGTGGGTGTTGGTCTCTTCTCCCAGGTAACAACTGATAGGATGAGAGAAAATTACCTCAAGTGGCACCAGAGGAGATTTAGATTGGGTATTGGGAAAAATGTCTTCACTGAAAGGACTGTCAGTCACTGGAACAGGATGCTCAGGGAAGTGGCTGAGTAACCATCCTTGGAGGTATTTGAAAAGCCATCCCTGAAGGTATTCTAAAAGACATGGTGGCTAGGGTGGTGGTTTAGAGGTGCATTTGGCAGTGTTAGGTTTACAGTTGGACACTGTGATCTTAAAGCTCTTCTTAAACCAAACTGATTCTGCGATTTTATGGTTCAGCATCAGATCAACACATTGTAACTAACCTAAAAAATAGCATTTACAATAAATCATGGAATTTAAAATACATCATGGGTTTCCTTTGGTTAACATTCTTCCTAAAAGCACGCTTGGTTCACATGTAAGGTTCTTCCTCTTAAAGTATGCATACTTACATAGTCCGGATTCCTATCACACGTAACAACAATTATTTTACTGCTCATGCTCCTAATTTCAGTTTAATATATTAAGTTTTTTATAAATTATTCTGTCTTTATGTGAATACTTGAAGTGCCAGAGAAGTTATTAGTGAGGGCAAAGCAATTCAATTTTGCTCTTCTAGTAGGACACACTAATTGCATTTTCTCATCAGTATATACTAAGCAGTATACAAATAGGGTATGCTTTATATTCTTGGATCAACCCTTGAAGTCATTCTTAAATTCTTCTTATCCCCAATTCCTTTTTGAAATATAGTCATATCAACAGCCTTTGTTCTTAAGAATACCGTATTTACCAAAGTAAACCCGAAATTGCTTAAATGAGCCTATTTTATAAAATATTTCTTGTCATCCAGTGCTGTTTCATTATTTATGACCCCAGAAATACAAACATTGAGGTATCAAATAGGTTTCTACACCATTCATTCAGATTTTGATACACATGTTCAATTGCTCCATTTCTCCTTTCTTTTAGTCAGTCAGTCTCTCCAATTCATTATGTAGACTTACGGGATTGCTTATCACACTTCTGAATGGAGATTTTGGTTTGTTTTTTTTTTTTTAATCTTTTACTCAGAAATAACACTTTATGCAACTCCTCAGCCTGCTTTTAATTAATCTCAGTTCTGTTAGGTTTTCATTATTTTCTGGTATAGTTAGCACTACATGCAATAATACTGAACAGCACAAAAGGGGTATTTCCAATCATTCACAAATGGCAAAAACTGGCATTCTCACCCAACACTGTCCTTGACTCATGTTATTTTTACTCTTTTGCTATGTTATTGCAATAGCAGAATGTGGAGATATCAAATGGAAATCTGACTACAAATCAGTTAATTGTATTTCAAACAAGCTCAAATGCTTAATTAAAAAAAAAATTCCCTCTTTGATACGTATGTGATCAGAAGTAAAGCAGTTACCAGATTACTATAAAGAGAAATGGACAAAAGACAGAAGTTTCAAGAGCATGCAGCTTTTAAAAGAGGAGAAAAAATAGAAAAAGTGTAAATTTCACTAAAAGATCACGATATACCACACAATGCAATTGTATTTTCATACATGGGTAATGCACAAATATTATCTATTAATATTGCATATGAATGTTCTATAGTCTTTACCCTTACAAACTTCTCTGATACCCCCTGATAGTCTGTTTTCCAATTACTCCATTTCCAGTGATTCTGGGAAGAGATTATGTCAAGAAGATGCCAGTTATTTGAGGAACAGGTGATAGGAACATTCATCTACTTGGCTGTGATGCCTAAATATATATTTTAATTCAATCACTCCTACTAAATGATGATAAAAAGAATCCATTTCATATGTCTGTATCCTGTTTTTTACTAGAGCTATTAAGAAATAACTGTATCCTGCCTTCATTCAGGATTTGCTGGTATAAGCTTCCAGAAAGCCCTAAAAAGAAAGAAATTTTTAAAAGTAAACACATTTTGATATTTCTCCTCACCCTTTTCTCCTACATACACTGGACGTTGTAAACTCTACAAGTTTCCAATTAGTGCTCTAAAATCCTAACACAAAAGATCAGGTCAGAACAACCTTGTACTGCAGCAACATCACACTCTTAAATCAATAATAAATTAATGAGATTACTTTTCTATTTGCGTTCCCCAGCAGTGCTTAAAGAAATTAATTAAAATGAATTTTCATCCCCTTCAAATAATACAAAAATATATATGCATAACAGAAATTTTATCTTTTCCTGAATAAATCATGCTGGTTATGTAACTCTGGAACACAGACTAATTTCAGCGACAGAACATAATCCAGTTAATCTTGTACATAGCAGGATTTACTCAGTGTATTATGAGAAATGGCAAACAAGTTTTGTGTGAAGATGTGGATTAATCTCTATCAATCATTGTTTCAAGGGTTAAATCAGAGGAATAGCTCTAAGCACACAAAAGCTAACACAATGTGCCCTTGGGTTTTGCAGCAATGCAGTGCTCCTACCTCTTCAGTGCTCAGGCACAAGGACACCTGCCTCATCATACACAGTCTTCAGTGCAATACTTTCTTGCCACATCCTTTGCACACACCAATATACTTGCACAAGTTTGTCCTTCATCCAGCCACCTTACCATAAAACCTGCCAGAACCTAACTGCCCTTGAGACGTCTCTTTTTTGTAACTTTGGCTGACACATCTCAATGGGTTTAAAAATTACAAGAGATGAAGAAAAACAGCCATGCATATAGTGTGACCACAGAATACTTCCCGCTTAAGAAACCAGACTTAATACTTATTGAATCTATTCCAGCCTTATAAAAAAACAGAAAAGTCTTATGAATTAGTCACATTTTAAAAAAGTTCCATGAAGAAAAAAAATATATTTCCAAACAACATTGCTCACTTTATGTGTAATTAAGACTTCATGTGTAATTAAGGAAACTTTATGTGTGATTAAGAAAAAGGTTACTGAAAGATTTTGCTGTTTGGTTGGTTTGTACACATATTCCATCAATGACTGTAATGGAATTCTTTCAGATTTACATGGACACGGTAAAAGCATGAATAAAGTTCTCTGGAGGTACAGTATGTGTAGATTCCTGAAAGGAAGGAAACAAATTCAGGGGAAAAAAAAAAAGAAAAAGAAGTGATTGGATAATGTTCATCTCAACTCAAAACAAAACAGAAAAATACAGCTGGCTAAGAACAGGAAATTAATCCATGCCTTGGTTTCCTTCCTTGAAAGTAATGAGGTTCACAGATCCAAAAGCTTTCATCCTTGTTCTGTACAGCCCTGTGTGTAGAGCAAACCTTTCAAGTGGTAGGAGAGGTGGGACTCCTGTTGATACAGACTACTTTGAGATTTCCTACGCTGAGGAAGAGTCTCAATTAGCAAATTCACAGTCAGGAAAGAAAACACATCAAAATGCATGCATTTAGGTGAAATAGAATGTTGCTTTTGAAAAGCAACAAATTCAACTATTAGTCCAACAAAACCACTTTTCAGGCAGAACTTGCATAGAGTTTCTTCTACCCGAGGTGCACAGATTTAAAACACTGGAATTGTCACAGTGGAAACTGGCAGGTGTAGGACAAAAGAGTGACATAAGTAGGTTTTAAAAGTTGTGACTATTGTATATGTAAGAGCTACTGGGGTCAAAAAAAGATCACCAACCAACTGAAGACATGCACAGAGAGAGAAAAAAAATAGAAAAAAAGTCAAAAATGTGGATGTTTAACTTTTACACTCTACACTTCGATGCAAGTTCACTAGATTCTGGTGCAAGCTCACTGGATTTCCCCCCACTCCAAACCTGTGCAGATACTAAAGTTCTGAGGGAGTAAATGTTGGTACGCAGAATTAATTTCCTCTCATTTATTTCTGCAGTTCTACCAGAAAATATCTCAACCTCTTAGAAACAAAAATTCTTTTATTACAGAGAACGAGAATGTATTGTGCAAAGGAAGTTATGCAGCAAATAATTACAAACAATCCTGGATATTTACAATGCTCCAAAATTGCTATAATTGAGCAATTCAGTGTTCCTGCATCCTAGCTAATTTCTTAAAATCGCGTATGGAGGTTCTGCTGCCCAGGCAGCTGGGGACACGATCCAGATGATTTAGACTTATGATCTCAAAAGAAAAAAATACCTTTCTTTCCTAGGACTGCCACGTAAAAAGATAGTATTTATTATGAATGAGAACTATTACTTATCTGTTCTCAAACAGCAGCAGCTTCTCTCTGTGCATCTGAACTACCAAGACTGCCAATAACTTACGCTGTTCTTGAAAACAAATTGTGTTCCTGGAATTAGACTGTGTCAGTTAGTCCCTATACACAGCTTCCCATTCCTGATGAATTTTACTTCTGACTTCATTACTTCTGACGCACCAAATCCTGACCTGAATAAAGAAAATACATGACATGCCATCAGCAGGTGCCTTGTATGAAATCACATACTGTCTCGTTCTTAAGACACACACAAATGTCAAACTTAAAAATATCAAGAAATACATAATGTCCTTGGAGACTCCATGTTAAGAGCATCTGGAGAAAATGAGGTTTCTTGCCACCGTAAGTTTCTGCAACATGCTACAAGAACAGAAAGGGTAGTACAGTTCCCCTGTTACTTTCAGGACACAATGCTGCATCTCCACCATCACTCAGTACTTAATAATGGCATACAACATTCACCCACCACTCTCTACAATATTTTGGTTATGGTTTTTTTGCTTCTTTTAGGGGGTTTGTTGTGCTTTTGTTTGTTTTTTAAATCAGCTGGACATTTCTTTAAATAGTTGACAGGCCACACCAGACCTCAAGAACTCACTTACCTGCAGCCTTACCAACACACATACAGGAGATGAACTATTTGCAGGTTATTTCTGACTGCTCTTCACTAAGACATGTAACGGCTTCACCAGGTACAGCTGAGCCTGATTATTTGCAATACAGTGAGAAAAATATTACTGAGAACAAAACCGATATAGCCACTCTAAATAATTAAAGATAGTGCTGGGTATTCAGTTTACCTGCAGGTCAGTTCTGACTAAGTACATCACACGAAATACATTAAAATTAAGGAATCACTTATCAGTAAAAAATCCACATTAAACACTCTCATTAATTCAGTATACAGGGAAATAACTTTTTTAAGTAAGAGTGCATCTTTAAGAATATTTAAGCATCAATTGGCAATAGTCCAATATCTAAATATGCTAGATGACTCCCCAAAACATACCTTAGTTTACAAGATTATCTTTAACATTTCAGTCTTTAAGATTTTAGCTATCCTGCTCTGCATACTAGACTGGTTCTTCCAAAATTATTTTGTCCTCTGTTATGAAATAATAAATAGACCATTCTAAATTCGAGAGCATCTCTTTATTCTCGAACAGAGATACAGAGACTCTTACGTTAGACTTCTCTTGATACAATTTCCCTCCTCAAGCTCAGAAGATTTGCATTCTCAGCTTCTGTTTAATTCACTACTAGATCACTGGTTTAAGTAATGAATAGACCCAATGAACTTTATTCAGGGAATTAATTCCACATTTTCATGAATGCCATTTATTGTTCATTACTAACCCTTGAGCTTTTAAAAATCCATGGACACAGAAGCCAAATCTTTCCTTTCCTGTCACCTGCTCAAATACGGGGAAGCAGACCACTCTGCACTCTTTGACTTTTAAAGGCAAAAGGAAAGGAGTAATACTCACGGTCATTTCTTTGTTAAGTAGTGAGACCCTCTAAACAAAGAGACTTCAGGGTGTGGCACAACTACGACCTGCACAACTGATTCTTCAGCCATCTTTAGCAGTAGCACTGGATAAAATAGTCTTGATGAAAATACTAGATATTATGAAGCACTGAGCAAGAAATGTGATGTACTGGTCGAAAACTCTGGGCTGCTAAAAACAGTATGTCAAGACAGAAGATGCATCTTAAACGCCTGCCCAATTCATTAATGGTTTACATTGACAAGGCATGTTGGAAAACCCATTTTCCTCTATCCTGATGATGGCTGTTACTTATAAAGAGATAGAAAATGAATAGAGGAAACAAAGAGCTGACATTTTAAATTATATGTTCTGATGTACTGCTCTTGGTAATTTATTCCAAATGCTCTATATACATTAGGACAGGAAATAGAGAGTGAATGAGTATTTATTTTTCACCCAGATTAGCTTTGTCACTGGTCTTGCAAATCCTAGGTATGGGCTCTAATTTTGTTACGACAGCTCTGTGGGAGGAACAGAAGGTCACTGTTCCAGTGTTGCAAACCTTCCCAGCAAACTGTTTAGAAAACATTTCATAAAGAAAATGCCTGATGAATTCTTGTCATTTCTAAGCTCCCCTCTGAGTTCACATAATAAACATCACTCTTTTAGTTTTACATATTAACATGAGTTAAATATTGCTTGTGATAATTTGCAAAATATTGCTTTAAAAATATATTTGCAAATGTAGGACAATATGAGCCTCTTCTTCCCAAATAACTTGTTACATATATCAGCAAAATAAGTCCCACACTTCAGTACAAACAAAAGAAAATTCACAATATGGGAGGTGTGGGGAAGAGACAGAACTCTACTCTAGAGAGAAACAATTCAAACAGACTTGGAAATTTGATTATGTATACAGCTGAGCATGAATTTCCAATGCCATACTGAGATTATAAAGGCTAATGTGACTCTTGCTAATAAAATCAAAAAGTACAACTGCTTTATATCCATTTTTGACACAGATGCCTCAGTATCAGAATTTCAAATACATTTTGTAGTTCTACAGCAATGGACAATGCTGGATCAGACCAAATGTCTATCTTGGCCTTTAGCTGCGGCCAAATTGTGCATCTAGGGAAGACTGAAAGCACACTCAGTATTTCCCCTTCACATGTGGAATCTTCCAGTATTCAATCACTTGCAGATCAGTGAGGCTCTGATCTATGTGTGATTTCCATGTATTTAATAACCCTCAGGAGAGATGCGTTCCATTCACTTGACCGTGACTGCTTGAGTTCTTGAACCTACATGACTAGGTTCTCATGTTACCTGCAATCCTACAGGAAGGAATTCCAAAGCTTTACTAATCTTCTGTGAAGAACCATCTTGCTTTGCTTTCAGTCTTCATCTGGTGCTCTACAGTTCCTGATGTTGGAAAAATGAAGACTAACTCAACCCTCTCTAAGCTACTCTAGGTTTCACAGACCATTAGAACCACTCCTTCCCTGTCTCTTTACCAGCTCTCAGTAATTTGTCTTCATAGAAACTATTTCATAACTTTCTTCATCCTTTTCCAGGGCTGTTATACAGTTTTAGCAGTGGGGAACCACAACCACACAGGCTTAAGTAAATGGAGGATTATACAGTGGCACAGAGATCTCCATTTCCTTCTTAACTTTCTTAACTTTCTATTTTGACTACTCCACTGTGACTGTATTTATTTAAATGTAAAACTCACAACCAAACCAGAAAGCAAAGTTTTCCAATTGCCTCATGTCCCTCCAAGCCACGCCTCTTATCACATTGAGACTTGGGGAAAAGCTAGTTTAGCCACTCTGCCTCTTGATTTTTAGCCTACAGCATGAAGAAGCTTGGAAGTAATCCTAATTAAATGACCGGAGCCATGCCTAGAATGTACCTTCATGAGAAAACTGGAACTGTTAAGGAGTCAAAGAGAATAAGCAACTCAAAAGTGCAGAACAGAAAGTAACATAACTTTTCAAGATAAGCAGCAAATATGTAACAATATCCACATGCCAAAAGTGGAAGGTGGGCACCAAACAGAACAGGGCACCTTTCCCATCCACTCCTATGAGAATAACCACTGGAATAATTTAATCAAGAATTTAAGTGAATTTACTATTACAGTGATCCCCTATTTTACTTTTAATTGGAGCATAACTTTCAGAAAAACAGCCAAGCTGGAATGCATGAAAGTCCCATGGTCTGTGTTGTACCTGAAATGAGTTCAAATAATCACAGCACCATCTCTCCAGTCCATTATGTTATTCTATAATTCACCTTTGTGCCAAGCACTTTTGGGGCATATTTGCATGGCATAATAGATAAACAGCAGACAGCAGATACTTTTAAGAAAGGTTACCACTTGCAATTCAGCACAATGTGTGTTATGTTCCACATATTTAGCTTGTTTTCCTCCTAGCAGGAACACAGAGCAGAAGCCAGCAGAACAGGGGAATTACTAGCACATATCTAGCATCAAAAGGAAAAGGAGAAACTCCCGATTTTAACAGAGGACAACTAGGGATAAAAATATTAACTTAGGCAGTATTAAACTATTTATTTTTAGAATTTCTACTCCTCATTCTAGTTCATTCTGTACTCCCTGCTCTTTCTGGGTTTCCTATAGCTTTATCTTAAGCCTCCCCAGCTGCCTTCTGATTCCTTATCCCAACCACTTCTTTTTGTACAAGAATACCTTAACATTAATTCCTTGTAGTCACAGGGGTTATCCTTGAACAAAACTGTTTTTTCTACTTTTCTTCAGGGAAAAGAGAACATAACCAAGTCTTGTCAGTACAGTCTTCCTATTCTGCTGCTTGCTTTTTGTACACTCAAATTGTCTGTAGACCTGTATAATTACCTTCTTAATTCTGCTCATCAGACAACAATTGTCCCTTTAAGTAGAACCAAAAGGAACAAATCAAAAAGCAAAGAGAAAAGCCTAGTGTTTTGGTAAATCTCTTCACAAGTGTCTTTCAGACTAACAAACACAATGCTAGATATTCCCGTCTTTGCTGTACACTTAGTTAACACAGAAAACATGGTTTTGTGACTCACAGCTATGGAGATTAAGCCAGCAAATACCTGAAGGACTTCTTGGGTATCTGCTGACAAAGCTCACTAAAGCTCTAAAGCTGTAGATCCCCTCTGGACTTCTTTTTCATAACCCACCTCCCAGGCCACCTCTTCCAACACTGCTCTGAGGGCCCTCTCCCCGGCCCATCTATCCCCATCCCCGAAGTGTTAATGGAATCACAGAATGGCTGAGGTTGGAAGAGACCTCTGGAGGTCACTCAAAGTTAAGAAACTCTCCTCTTTTTTTGACTATCATCTCTTTTTCCATTACCCAGCAGCTGCCCATGACATCCAACTCTTTCCCAGAGACAAGCTGTAGTTCATGGTAGCACACATGGCTTGAATATGTAACTGGAGTGCTGAAGTATCTCAGACACTGGTGTGCAAATATAAGTGTTCATGTGAAATTCTGCCAAGGTAGCTGCCATACAGGATATGTGGCAGAGGGCTTGCAAGCCAGTCAGAGATTGTCACTGCATTAACATGGATGAGTACTGTGTGTGTTTAAGAGTCAGCATCAGTATCCTTCTATTAATAAAAATTAATCTCTCAGTCAAACTTGTAGATGTGGAAATGGC